CGGGCTTGCATTTTGGGGTTCAGGATTTGGGGTTTCAGGTTTGGGGGTTGTGGGGTTAGGGGCTTACTGCTTGAGGTTTTGATTGCGGGTTCAGGTTTAACGCAGGTTTATATGGTCGCTCCTCTACAGGTTGGTCCCTTTTTGGTTCCTTATTATGAGGCGGCCGGTCTTATTTTGGTTACCCCAAAAAGGGACCGTCAATTTGGAGAACTGACCATCTAGGTGTAGGGTTTAGGTTTAGGGTTTAGGGTTTAGGGTTTAGGGTTTAGGGTCTAGGGTTTAGGGTTTAGGGTTTAGGGTTTAGGGTTTAGGAACCCCTTCGCGGACTTCAGTGCTGACCCTGAGGCCTGAGCACAGTCACTTTTTCGGCCTCCTTCGACAATGGCGTTGGTTGGAGGTGCAGTGTGCCTCTAACCCGAAACCCTAAACCCTAAACCCTACGCCCTAAGCCCTAAGCCCCAAACCCTAAACCCTAAACCCTAAACCCCTAAACCCTAAACCCTGAACCCTAAACCCTAAACCCGAAACCCCAAGCCTCTCACCCACGTGTGGGGTTTATAGGGAGCCCACAACCCTAAACCCTAAACTCTAAAGCCCTAAACGGGTCAAGAAAGCTGAACCCTGAAGCCGAGACCCTTCAACCCTCCATTTAGGGTTTAGGGCTTAGAGTTTAGGGTTTAGGGGTTTCGGTTTAGGGTTTAGGGTTTGGGGTTTAGGGTTTAGGGTTTAGGGTTTAGTGTCTAGCTTTTAGTGTCTAGCGTTCAGAGCGTCTCGAAGCGCAGCGGCAGCAACGACCATGTGCTTTAGCATGAAGATGGCCCAAAATCAGGAAGAATATTCTTGATGTTAGGCCTATTTCATTTGTGTATCCTGGTTTTAGGCCTATTTCTTTAGTGTTCTACTTGGAACGCATGTTTTTGAAAAAAACTTTTTTTGTCGGTCTTTGAGGGTTAAGCAGTCGAAACGACCTCGAGAAAGCACTAGTTGCAGTTGAAGAGCCTTTCACGGTGGTCTAGTTTCAAGAGAATATTACCTTGAACATAGACCAATATGGGCATGTCTCGAAATAGGGGCACCCCTTCTCTACCCCAAGTAGAATAGAATAAGGGACCATCAACAAGGATACCACTTTTTTCGGAAACCCCAAAATATACAGCAAAATTATGACAGCCTCGGCGATGGCCTTTGAATGGGTCTGGATTTTCAGGGAAAACATCCTTAAAATCCAGCCCACACTCCGAAAACTACGTTGGCTTTGTCAAGAAGATTTCAACTAGCCGGTAACTAGCCGACGACATCGTGAGCTTGTCCTTTATGAGTTTTCTTTTGGTTTTCAGTTTTTTTTTTTCTGCACTTGCCGGCTTAAGGGCACCTATTCGGTGCCTTGCGCCTCGAACTAGATCTAGTTTTTATTCTTTATCTTACCCAACTCAGGATTCAGGACTTCGTGCTGAACCTGAGCTTTGGATGATTCTATGTTTACTTCCCAAAAGTGAAGGGGCGAAGTCGCATCACATTTTGGATCTTGCCAGACGGGAGACTTGGGTTCTAATCGTTTAGGGTTGAGGGTTTAGGGTTTAGGGTTTAGGGTTTAGGCTTTAGGCTTTAGGTTTAGGGTTTAGGGTTTAGGGTTTAGGGTTTAGGGTTTAGGGTTTAGGGTTAAGGGCTTAGGGTAACCTAGCTTTCTAGCTTTTCGCACTGCCGGCGAAGCAGAAGATGAAGATGCAACCCGCCTTTCAGGTGATGAGAAGCGTGATAACCCTAAACCCTTAACCCTAAACCCTAAACCCTAAACCCTAAACCCTAAACCCTAAACCCTAACCCTAAACCCTACACCCTAAACCCTAAACCCTAACCCCTAAACCCTAAACCCTAAACCCTAAACCCTAAACCCTCAACCCTAAACCCTAAACCCTAAACCCTACACCCTAAACCCCCAAAAAGGCCCCCAGAGGCCTCCGTGCAGGTTCGGGGGGCAACAAAAAAGAAAAACCAGCAAAGCTGGCGCCAAAATTTCAGACAGAAACCCCATACGGTTTAGGGTTTAGGGTTTAGCGTTTAGGGTTTAGGGTTTAGGGTTTCTGTAAACTCAAAGCCAAAACACCTTATCAAGACCGTACGAGGACTCTATACATTTTCTCTCAACCCCGCACCCTAAACCTTACCTAACTCCTAACCCCCACCAAACCCTACAAAACCCCACTACACCCTACTAAACCTCACAAAACGTTTCTTGACCTCACTAAACCCACGAATCCCTACTCAACCGTAACCAACCCTACTAAACCCTACTGTAAACCCCACTAAGCCCTACTAAACCCTACGATAAACCCCACTAAACCCCACTGAACCCTACTAAACCCTACGATAAGCCCTGAGAAACGGCTCTTTTATTGCAGGCCTCCGCCTTGAGCTCTCCGACACGTCGTCGCTTGAGCTTCCGTGTGGCGCCCGTGGGGGGTGCGGGGGGCTTAGGGTTTAGGGTTTAGGGTTTAGGGTTTAGGGTTTAGGAACAGTGGTGGATGTGAAAGGGGGGGGTAGGGTCGGGGGCTTGGGGGAGTTTAGGGTTTAGTGTTTAGGGTTCTAGGTTCGGGGTTTAGGTTTTAGGGTTTAGGGTTCAGGTTCTAGGGTTTAGGGTTGAGAGTGTAGGGTTTAGGGTTTAGGGCCCGAAGGCTCATGCCATTCCTGATAAAAGGCGATGGAACGTGCATGATTCCGTACGGGATGAGCAGATGCACTCATGGTCCTGAGGCCGCCTGCCAGAAGAAGAAGTCCGCGCCGAAAGTCACCTGCCAAGAAGAAGTCCGCGCCGAAAGTCTCCTGCCAAGAAGAAGTCCGCGCCGAAAGCCGCTGCCAGAAGAAGGAGCTACGCACGCCGAAAGTCTGGCTCTCGGCAGCAAAACCTTGGCTGGCGCATCTTGTGGATTTGCGGAGTGAGGACTTTTTTGGCCGACTTCCCAGACCGGGAGTCTTGCGGTGCAGCCTAAACCCTATAAACCCGAATCCCTAAACCCTAAACCCTATAAACCCTATAAACCCTACAGCCCCTATAAACCCCTGTAAGCCCGATTAATAAACCCCATAAACCCTACAAACCCTATAAACCCTGTAAGCCCTATATAGCCTAAGCCCTAAAGCCCTCAAGCCCTAAACCAAAAACCGAGTGAGCTGCCGTGTCGCCTCCGCAGTGTGCAGTTTGTCATTTAGGGTTTGAAGGGTCGATGTAGGGTTTGGGGGGGGTTTAGGGTTTAGGGTTTAGGGTTTAGGGGTTAGGGTTTAGGGCTTGGGGAAGACGAGTTTGCCTAAGCAACCCTGATAAGCCCTGCTTCGCCGAAGAAGCTCTCCGAAGCCGAGCACATAAAGCCACGCCAAAGGTGTCCTAATCCCTAATCCCTAATCCCTAAACCCTAAACCCTAAACTCTAAACCCTAAACCCTAAACCCTAAAGGTCCCTTAAGGGTTCCCCATTCCCTACTCCTGAACTCGCAAGTTCTGTACACCCCCCACTGCCCCAAACGCCTTAAGAATCTCCTTGCCAAAGCCCTAGTTAGGCTCCTAAAGCCCCAAAAGCCCCGAAAGCCCCTAAAGCCCCTCAAGCCCCTAAAGCCCCTAAAGCCCCTAAAGCCCCAAAAGCCCCGAAAGCCCCTAAAGCCCCGAAAGCCCCTAAAGCCCCTAAAGCCCCCAAAGCCCCTAAAGCCCCCCAAGCCCCTAAAGCCCCGAAAGCCCCGAAAGCCCCTAAAGCCCCTGAGGCCCTTATGTCCTAAAACCTCATCCTAAAGCCCGAAGCCCTTGAGTTGCCCCAAAGCCCTGAAACCTCTGAACCCAAAAGGGGTTTAGGGTTTAGGGTTTAGGGTTTGGGGTTTCGGGTTTCGGGTTTCGGGTTTGGGGTGCCAAAATGCAGCCCAAGACCCTTTCAAGACCTTAAGAGCCCAAAGGCCCCGAAAGCCCTCGAAAGCCTAGATCCATAAGCCCCTAAGCCCTAAACCCTCTAACCCCCTAATCACCCTGAACAACCCCGAAACCGTGTAAACCTCAAACCCCTACTCAAACCCTACACAAACCCTAGAAAGCCTGCTAAAGCCCCGTAAAACCCTACAAACTCTGTAGACCCCGCAAACCCACATCCCTACAAACCCTATAAACCCTACAAACCCTACAAACCCTGCAAATCCTATAAACCCTAGAAACCCTAGAAACCCTAGAAACCCAGAAACCCTGCAAACCCATAAACCCTGCAAACCCATAAGCCCCGCAAACCCATAAGCTACGCAAGGCCCCTAAACCCTACAAACCCTACATAAACCCTAGAAACCCTACAAACCCTGCATAAGCCCTAGAAAACCTACAAACCCTAGTCCCTCCAAGCCCCACAGCCCGAAGCTAAGCTAAGGCTGGAGTCCACGCAGCCACCCAAGTTCGACTTCCACTACTTTGACCAGCACTTTCAGCCCTGGCCTCGGGGGTCTTTAAGGCAACCTCAAGGAGTGGACTGGGTTTTAGGAGTTTAGGGTTTAGGGTTTGGGGTTTAGGGTTTGGGGTTTAGGGTTTGGGGTTTGGGGTTGCGGTTTTAGGTTTTGGGGTTTGGGGTTTAGGGTATGGGGTTTGGGGTTTGGGGTTTTTGTGGGGGCTTGAGAGGAGCCGCGCTGCCTGATCCTGAGGCTCCTCGCTCCTAACCTTGTGCCAAATGCTCCTAATCATGGTCCCTTAGTATGGGCCCTTCAAACTTACATACCCCTTATGTACCCTATACAACCCAAGGGCGGATACATCAGAACCCTCTGAAGAGGATAAGGGGCCATATTAAGGGTACCCTTAGCAGGGGTTGTAGAACCGGAGCCATGTCTTCTCCAGAAGGCCTTGAGCTGCCACTGCGCAGTGCGGCTGTGAGCCAAGCAGGCCCCAGCTCCCGGACCTCCCCCTTGCCTGGCGAGCTGCGCATGCGAGCAAGCAGGCGAGGAAGCTTGACCGAACTGAGCAGGGACTTGCAGGTCCACCATGACATGGAGAAGCCCTCATGGGCAACCGTTCGGGGAAAGGTGGCTTTGGCCACCTATACCTTGATTCGCATTGTCGCAAATATTTATGTGGTCGCCTGGTGCATGTGGAATAACAAGCTGCGACAAGGCGAGGCAGGTTTCACCTCCTGCGATGCGGTTGCAAGGCCCCTGATCACAGCTGTTGGCGTGCATGTCTTCCTCCAAAGACAGGATCGTTTCTGTGCTGCTCTGCCCCTGCACATTTGGAGTCGGCGCGCTGTGATCTGCCTTGCCTCGTTCCACTGCGATGCGAGCATGCTGTTCCTAGCAAACTGGGCTTGCATCTATTACCGCATCAATGTGCCTCGCTTTGCGCACTCAGATTGTCTGGCCCTGATTTGGGAGGTCGCCTGCAATGTCATGCAAGTGCACATGACGAACCTGAAGCTGCAAGCTCTGGGCCTTCACATGGCAGCTGCAGCATGTGCTGTGCTTACAGCGTGTGGCTGTGGCGCGTGTGCATCTTTCTTCGTACTCTTGGTAGTGGGAGTTGGTAAGGAGGAGCTGCTGGCTTTGCCGCTACGGTGTGCACTTCTGTGCAACCTATTGACGTTGCTCCTTCAATGTTGTGGGCTCGTTTACGCTGCTAGCCGAGCTATCACTATGCCTGCACCGGTTGACGAGGAGATCAAGTCAACAGCATGCTTCTTGTATATCAATTCTGTCCTGGTCGTTGTTGGTCCGGCTCTTACTTTGGTGGCTGTCTATAACTTTGCTGCTGGAGGTCAACTAACAAGTATGTACGGTGGTCCGGCATGGTTGACCCTTGATGTTGCCCTGCAAGTCAGCAACGTGCTTCTGCTGAGCGGGCTGATCGGCCCTCGACAGTGGAACCAGCCCATGCGTGCACTAGAGGCACTGGCAGACTTCTCTGGCTTTGGCTTGGCAGCCAAGCGCATTGCCTTCCCTGGGCAAATCAATCAGACAGCTGCTGAGTGCATCGCATCCTTTCCTGGCAAGTACGGTGACCTCTGGGATCAGGCTGTCTCTTCTGTGAAGCACCAGCAGGGCTGCTCCCTTGCATGCGTGTTCTTAACAGACAGCGACTCAGGGCTCGGAAAGCATGCAGAGAATCCAGACACACCGGGACAGTGTTGGTGCCACAGCCTCTACGGCCAAGTGGGAGCAGCTGCATACTTCAGCGTGGTTGAGGAGCCTGCAGATGAGGCTGACAATCCAGCCTGGAAGGAGAAGTTGGCCTTCAAACGTGCCGATGCCATGGCAATGGGCCAGCGGCTCCTCATCAAACGTGACCAGACAGACATCATCTGGCAGCAAGAGTTTTCGGACGCGCTGCGCAAAGCTGAGGACCTCTGTGCAGCGAACCATGGCAGGGCCCCTTGGGGGTGCCAGTGGTTCCATGAGTGGAAGATCAACATTGAACAGGCGCTGCAACTGAAACAGAGCCTACATATCTTCTACTATGCGGGTCGGAAGGGCAGGGGCAAGATGCGCTGGCATGAGCTCTCTGACAATTCGGCCAGAGAGAGCGTTCGGCCCATCAGCGGTCTTGGCGCCTCACAAACTGCAGAAGTTGCATACCTAGACCGGATAGGCGCAAGCTACGTGGAGCATGACATCAGGGACTTCGAGGCATTCATGGCTACGTCACTTTGCGCGGTCTCGCACTCTTGTCCGAGCCCTTAAGCTTAAATTCTTCAGTCCCCTCCCCCTAAAATGAACGCCCCCCTACCTCCTAATTTTCAATACCCCAATATAGTCATATGATAGTATGCGGGAGGGTATTGAATCGCGGGGGGTCTCAGGGGTCTAATATTAAAAACCCCCCCCAATAGAGTTATATGATAGCATTATGCAAGGGTATTCAATATTCGGGTGTACCTAAAACCTAAGACCTAAAACCTAAAACCTAAAACCTAAAACCTAAAACCTAAAGCCTAAAGCCTAAAGCCTAAAACCTAACACCTAAAACCTAAAACCTAAAACCTAAAACCTAAACCCTAAACCCTAACCCTAAACCCTAAACCCTAGTTTAAGACTCGAAGGGGGAGATGATGCCTCCATAATGCACGATGCAACTCGATGGCATGGCTGAGTCCAAAGGAAAAAGGCAGTGGACTGGTGGGAGCCGTCCTAGGGTTGAGGGTGTTAGGGTTCAGGGTTCAGGGTTCAGGGTTCAGGGTTTAGGGTTTAGGGTTCAGGGTTCAGGGTTTAGGGTTTAGGGTTTAGGGTTTAGGGTTTAGGGTTTAGTTTAGGGTCTTAGGGCTTAGGGTCTAGGGTCTGGGGGCTTAGGGTAAGCCGCTGCAGGCACTGAGGGTTTAGGGTTTTGGGGCTAGGGCTTGTAATGTCTTGGCACAGGAACCGAGCTCATACCCGACTTACAACTCGCAGGGCTGGCTTTGATACCAAAGTTTGATCTACTCCTGTACCATACTCAAGCGGCCGGGAACCTAGGCGTCGAATGGTCCCATTTCGTAGGGTTCAGCACGTAAGGCTCAGGAGTCTTCTGTCTAAATCCGACCCTGCAAAGCTACAAAGAGTCTTAACCTCTGTCTGGGTGGTTTTTCAAGGTTTCAGGTACGCCCTTGAATCCCAAACGCCGCCAAAACTTAAATCCGAAACCCGCCCAAACATTAAACCCCACACTGCAGCATATGCAAAGCTAATCCCCCGAAAAACTCTAAACCCAACAAACATGAAACCCTAAGCCCTTCTGATCCCTATAGACGCCATAAGCCGCTACACCCTACCCCCTACCCCTACTACCCCCACCCCCTCCCCCGCAAAAACCCCCCTAAAACCCTAAACCCTAAACCCCAAACCCTAAACCCCAAACCCTAACCCCTCCCCCAGCACGTCAAAGGCGCCTCCGGCCCTGCGGCCAGGGAGCTTTTGGGGAAGTGTGGTGCTGCCGCGCGCCGAGGGAAGGGAGTGTACATGTATAGGGTCTCTGGTTTACTATGTAGAGAGACAGGCATTTTTCATATTATACTTAAAGCGTAAACCTCATATATGAATAAACAAGGATATATACAAAATGTACATCCATTTTGAGGGGGCTGGGGCAGCTAACCCTGTTGATTTTGGGCCTAATTTTCTACCATCCTAAGCCCTAGGCGAGAAGAATCCATTATATAGGTGCTTGGATGAACTGCCTTAAGATTGTCGTGCGTTGAAATCATGAGCCTGACACGCGTTCTTAGCAACCATGCAGGTGCCTGCTGAATTCCTGGCTTGGGTTTAGGCTTTAGGGCTTTAGGGGAGAGGGGACGGACTCATTTTTCACAGCAGCCTTGATTGGGCACAATGAGCAAGGACGAGATAAGAAAATCATCAAGACCATCGTGGCAGACAACAGATTCATATCCCCACCCATTTTAACATACCTATTCACCATTGGGGTCCATGTACCTGTATTTAGTATATATACTCAGGCCATAGAGCTGGCTCAAAGGAATCTACCCGAACCCCGAGACCCTGTAGAGGTAAACCCCATATACCCTCAACCCGATGAAAGGTACATGGACCCAGCGGGTAGCGTACCTACTGGTTCTTTAGTAGAGAATGAGGGAAGGGAGGTACCCGTGCGTATGCGGGTGATGTAAGGTAGCTAATTCCCTGCTCAGAACCAGTAGGTTCGTACAACATAGCTACCCTAAACCCTCCTAAGCCCTATGAACCCTTTAGGGTAGTAGAATACAAGTACCCGGGAACCTTTAGGGTCAGACTTACATGGGTTTAATACCCCGACACCCTTATACTACTCCCCCTAAATTTCCTTTTTAAATAGCCTTGATTAGACTTAATTATCCCTAAATGGCCGTCATTATGGGCGGAACCTAGAGGGGGGAAATATAGAAGGGGAGTATAAACCCTAAACCCTAAACCCTAAACCCTAAACCCTAAACCCTAAACCCTAAACCCTAAACCCTAAACCCTAAACCCTAAACCCTAAACCCTAAGCCCTAAGCCCTAAGCCCTAAGCCCTAAGCCCTATAGAGGGGTAGTAGGGGAACCCAAACCCTAAACCCTAAACCCCAAACCCTAAACCCCAAACCCTAAACCCTAAACCCTAAACCCTAAACCCCAAACCCTACACCCCAAACCCTAACTAGCCCTAAACCCCAAACCCTAAATCCCCCAACCCCCCCCCAAAAACCCAAACCAACTAACCTCCAAGTCCTGAGGCAAGAGTTTCAAGGACGACACCGTCAGCGCCGTGAAGGCCGTGCGGTTCCGCGGAGGTGGCAGCATCGGAAATAGCGCCTCGGAGAAGCTTAGGGTTTAGGGTTTAGGGTTTGGGGTTTGGGGTTTAGGGTTTAGGGTTTAGGTTTCCTAGATTTTTGCCTTGGCTGCGAAAATGATGGCCACGAAGCGACCTCTCGAAAGTGTATCAATGATAAACCCTAAACCCTACAAACCCCAGACCAGGCACGGAGTCTGAGGTTTAGGGTTTAGGGTTTAGGGTTTAGGGTTTAGGGTTTAGGGTTTAGGGTTTAGGGTTTAGGGTTTAGGGTTTAGGGTTTAGGGTTTAGGGTTTAGGGTTTAGTCTTCATTACCCTTCTCCCACACTGCCTAAGATCGTCGGCAAAGCTCTGAGATTTTCCGATATTCCTTAGGATTCATGGTTTTTGTTTATCCAAGCCCCAAGGGAATATTCGCGTTCTTTGCCATGCTTCTAAGGGCAGTGTCGAAACCCTAAACCCTAAACCCTAAACCCTAAACCCTAAACCCTAAACCCTAAACCCTAAACCCTAAACCCTAAACCCTAAACCCTTCCAGTGAGGCATTGAGACGAGCGTGATGCGCGAGGCGCTGCGCGGCCTGCACCCCGAAACTCACTGCGAACTCGGTGCCTGCAACTCTCCCCCATAGATCTTCTCAGAACCGGTTTAGGGTTTAGGGTTTAGGGTTTAGGGTTTAGGGTTTAGCGTTTAGGGTGTCCTTTAAACCCTAAAAGCCCAAAAGCTCCACCTTGAAATTTCCCTAATCCCTAAGCTCCGGAAGCTCCTTCGAAATAATGGCCTACATACCCTAAACCCTAAACCCTCAACCCTCAACCCTAAACCCTAAACCCTAAACCCTGCTTGCAAACCCGAGTTCGAAGGAGAATATTCCCGACGTTTTCGGGGGCTCTATAGCCTACATTTGTGGATTACCGGTCATTCTTGCTGGTGCTTGGGGGGTTCAGTACCCCAACACCTCCAAACCCGAGAACCCGAAAACCCGAAAACCCGGAAAACTCCAACACCCCCAAGCCCTCAAACCCCAAAAGCCCCCAAACTCATAACCTTAAGCTGCCTAAGCTCTAAACCCTAAAGGCCCTCAGCGACTTTTGCAAGGAATCCCCTCCGCAATAAGGGTTTAGGTGTTTAGGGTTTAGGGGTTTAAGGTTTTAAGGGTTTAGGGTTAAGGTTTCGGGATTGAGGTTTAGGGAGGTTTATTAGGGTTTAGCACCAGGCTTAGGACCACAGCCTCCACCGTCAAAGCTCTGGACTTCCTTGCTCAAGGGTTTAGGGTTTAGGGTTTAGGGTTTAGGGTTTAGGGTTTAGGGTTTAGGGTTTAGGGTTTAGGGTTTAGGGTTTAGGGTTTAGGGATCAGGGATCAGGGACTCTGTCGAGCGGTTCCTTAGGTCTAGGGTTGAGAGTCTAGGGTTTAGGACATGGATGTTTTGGAGTTTTAGGGTTTTTAGGCTTCAGGGTTTCGAGGGTTTTAGGATTCTTTTGCTTTAGGTTTTCGAGTTTTGGGGGTTGAGGAATTAGGGTCTTGGTGCTTAGGGTTGAACAGCCCCAGGCCCTTCAACCCAAGTGCAGTGGAACCCACAGCATAAGTAAGGGACAAAGGGAGGGACCCTTCTAAAGGACCTGAAGGGGTCATTTCGGGTTACTTCGGGGCTACATAAGTATTTTTGGGACTCCATAAGGTATAGATAGCGAGTATATAGGGGTGATAAAGGGAAGAGGCTATATGGGTCCCTTCTAGGGGCCCCTCTCCTTGTAACCCCTTAGTACTCAAAAGCCCCGCAAGGGAGGTATCTACTTTCTCGCTGGAGGAGCCTGAGGTTCGCCCTAAACCCTAAACCCTAAACCCTAAACCCTAAACCCTAAACCCTAAATCCTAAACCCTAAACCCTAAATCCGAAACCCTAAGCCCTAGATCACCCTAAACCCTATTCATAGCCCCGCCCGCCCCAGCCGGACAGGTAGTTTGAGGCGCCTAAACCCCAAACCCTAAACTTTTGCCCTAAACCCTAAACCCTAAACTCTAAACCCTAAACCCTAAACCCTAAACCCTAAACCCTAAACCCTAAACCCTAAACCCCAAACCCTAAACCCTAAACCCTAAACCCTAAACCCCAAACCCCAAACCCCAAGCCCCCAAGCCCCCAAGTCCTAAACCCTAAACCCTAAACCCTAAATCCTAAACCCTAAACCCTAAGCCCCTTTAGTCCCTTCATCCAGCCAGGCCTCGATCCTGGCTAGCATTGACCACCCGAACATCGTGCGCTGCTTCCGCTCGTGGATCCAGATGGACACTGCGGAAGGCGGTGGTTAGGGCTTTAAGGTTTGTTTGGGGTTTAGGGTTTAGGGTTTAGGGTTTGGGGTTTAGGGTTTAGGGTTTAGGGTTTAGGGTTTAGGGTTTAGGGTTTAGGGCTTAGGGTTTAGGGTTTAGGGTTTAGGGTTTAGAGTTACAAGCTCATCCTCAGTTCTGCCTTAGGGTTTTGTTTTGGGTTTAGGGGCTTTTGGGGCCCTACATCGGGTATTCCAATCATGGGTTTATATACCCGAAGCCCCTAACCGTAGATGACTTCAGCTTTTCCATGTGTGGTACATTGCCCGATTATCCCCAAACCCAAAAGGGTATCACGGTTCAACCACAAAACCCGAAATCCCTAAACCCTAAAACCCTAAAACCCGAAAAACCTAAAGCCCTAAAACCCTAAAGGGCTAAACCCCTAAAGCCTAACGCCCTAAAACCGTAAACCATAAAACCCGATAACCTTAAAACCCTAACACCTTGCAACTCTAAACTCTAAAACCCTAAAACGCGAAAACCCCAATCCCCAGAACCCTAAAACCCTAAACCCAAAAAACCCTAAAACTCAAAAACCCCAAAACCCTTAGAGCGTGACACCCAAACGCTACAACCTAAACAAGCCCTAAACCCAAACATCGTGAAATCCTAACCCTAAACCCCCTAAACCCGAAAACCCTGAAACCCTGAAATTTAAAACCCTAAGACCCTAAAACCGTAAACCCTAAACCCTAAAACCCTAAAACCCTAAACCCCCAAACCCTATACCCTCAAACCCTAAACCGGCAACCCTAAACCCTAAACCCCTAAACCCTCAAACCCTAAACCCCCAAACCCGAAACCCTAAACCCTAATCCCTAAGCCCTAAACCCTAAACCCGAAACCAGTAAACCCTAAACCCTACGCCCGAAACCCCAAGCCCTAAACCCTAAACCCTAAACCCAAAGCCCTAAACCCTAAACCCCTAACCCCTAAACCCTAAGCCTAAACCCTAAACCCCAAACCCTCAACGCTAAACCCTAAACCCTAAGCCCTAAGCCCTAAACCCTAAACCCTAAACCCTAAAGCCTAAAGCCTAAACCCTAAACCCTAAACCCTAAACCCTAAACCCTAAACCCTAAACCCTAAACCCTAAACCCTAAACCCTAAACCCTAAACCCTAAACCCTAAACCCTAAACCCTCCTCACTTCAGGAGGCGATGCGACCGGCTCTACCCGCGCCTCATCCTGGCCCTCCACGCCAGCCACGCACCACGGCCCGCACCTATCTGAAGTTTGTGGGGTTTAGGGTTTAGGGTTTGGGGTTTAGGGTTTAGGGTTGGGGGTTTAGGGTTTGGGGTTTAGGGTTTTTGGGGTTTGGGGTTTGGGGTTTGGGTTTGGGGCTTAGGGTTTAGGGTTTGGGCTTGTGGTTTGGCATTTGGGTTTGGGGCGTGTGGCAAACGGAAGCGGGCTTTGTGAGCGCGCATGCGTCTCATTCAGTTGATGCCTTCTTGTTTTTGCAAAGCAGCATGTGATCATTACTGCATTTTTACTTTTTTATCCTTTGTTTCAATGTCTTTGTTTATCTCAATTTAGCGCATCATCCATTTGCTAATATTCCTGGAATGATGTCACATAAACTTTGTGATCATCAACGTCAACAAAAATGTTTTTGAAATTCATTACATGTGATGTGATTAATAAATTGTACTTGTGTATGTTGCATTACTCACGGAATAAGATCCCACGATGCCACCACAACGGATTGTGCAGTGAGACAACTTGCATATGAATATGCTCTTCAAATCCAACCATTTCGAGGAACTCAAAAAACAAACATTTGATGCATTGGAATTAGGCACATTATGTGGGATCCCTGAACCTCCTGAATCATATGATGATGCGAATCTATTGCGAATCCATTGCGCATCTACTGCGAATCTATTGCTAGTGTATACATTGGCATTTACCGATGATAGATCACACACTGGTGTGATCTCCTGCTAACGTCTTCAAATTGTGTGATCTCCTGATAAAGTCTCCAAGTTTTGTGATCTAATGCATCAACCGCTGATGTTTTTCATAATTCACAAATCAACATTATTACAAAGGTAACACGAATATCTAATCAATCATTGGTAAGAATTTTACAAATTTTAGGGAAACATAATATTACTTGTGAGTTTCGAATTCATTTTGGTCTATAATTTATTGGTTTATTTTTTCGCTTTGTGATTTCATTGGCATTGTTTGATGGCATTCAGGATACTCATATTTTGAATTTTTGGCTCAATTTGGATAGTTTTTTAAATAGCGTCTGATGCACAGTGTTTGCAGTAAACATGATTGCATTCGGTTGAATGTGATTGAACATCGCATTGGATCCAATATGAACGATGCCGGCGGACAATCTTTATCAAAACATTCCAGATTACATTTTTCAATCATGCGATCCACTGTCTTTGTTGGTGCGATTTCCAGTTTGCAACGGTGGGGGGGGGGATTAAAAAAGTTCAGTTTTAGTGTTACGCATTTTTTGAACGGCCCCTAAATTTACATGCGCTGTGTTTTATTGATTGTGTTTGGACGCGGTTTGTATAACATTGCAGTGAATGCCTTTACATGCGTGTATAATGAAGTAATAATTTACAATATTTCAGAAACAAATCCAATGTAATCGGACTGACACTTTCGTATTTTGTTTGCTTTCGTTTGGATCTGAGAGTAATGCGCAATTATAGTCCTTTTGGTGGAGGAGCTCGCAACCTTACATCGAACATGGTAAAGATACGGTTGGTAATTAATCCAATCAAAGTCCAATGAAGACACAGTACAACCCATCATATCCACCCAATACATACACTCCAATTGACGAACAACGTCTGCAGAATAAGTGAAGTTACCAGTCAAGTGCTGAACAATGATATCAAACGGATTTTGTTTGTGTCAATGTGTTTTAGTGATGTGGAGACTAATACTGATGGCATCCCTGCCCACAGAAAACGTTGAAAATACCAGCTGTGTGGGCTTTGAGGCAATGTTCGATTTTCTGGCATCCCAACGGCCGCCAACCATTTGCGAGAGCTGTCGGGATTTGCAGCTTTCAGCCCCAAGTAGTACATATGAAAAAACCTATGAAAGACCGACAAAGTTTAAAACCCCTGAGGAGTCCAATCAAGAAAAGCTATCTCGATGGCACTCAAGAAACATTTGAAGCAGCAAGAGAAAGAAGCTGCTAGACAGCTTAAAGCGCGAAGCAGCGCCGGTGATGGATGCTCTATGATGTTCATGTTTTTTGTGAACCGGTTTGGTGCGCAAGCCCTGCGTGTGCAGGCTCATGAAAGGTGTGAAGGAACTGTCGGTGGCAGCAATTTCTGAGATTTTGGCGCTGAAGCCCTCATATATGTGATGTTTCTTGGTCAAATGCCATGCATGACGTGAGAAGCCTTAAAACGAACAAGCCTGAACTGTCAATTTGGAGAGTCTTTGCGATAGCCGAACGTGAGGCGGGCAAATCAGACCGGGCGATGTTCTGTGCTCATTGCATGTGAACTTGCGTGGGTAGCTTGCAAGGTGGAGGAGGTCTTGGGGGAGACTTTACATGTCTACATCTCCAGACTGCCGCTGCGTTGGACAGCTGACGCGGCTTAGTTGGCTCGCACGCTAGAGGCGGAGAGCGCGACAATTCGAACACCGTCTGGAAGAGTGCTGGAGCGAGAAGCAAGCGCCGGCTTGCATGTTCTGCTGCTTGCTAGCAACGTGTTGCGCTGTTCAAGTTGAAATGCTCATGTTGTTACTTGCTGCAAGTTTTCGGCTGTTGGGGTGACCGCTTGGTGCGAACTGTTTCAGGCATGTTTAGTTCTGCAAGCTTTTGTGATACGTGTGAACTGCAGGTGCGCATTTGCCCACATCCTCTCCGCCACCGTTGACTACAAGAAGCTCACGGACGAAGGGTGGGAGAGCTATGTTTCAAAGAGATGCGCAAGTTCGGGCCTTGGCCCGAGCGTCCGACGACGATGGAGTTCTGGCGCGAAAAGCGGAATTTATCCAATTTCCCAGCTGAGCAAAGAACGCCGCAAGAGGCGGATGGAGGCCTACGAGGCTGCCTGGAAAATTTGGGAAGCCGAACATATGGGCCAAGAAGATGGGAGGCGAGAGTGGCGCTGCATGTCTGCGGAAGATCGCCCTCGAATTTCGTTGCCTGGAGTGCCTGCAACGCCCTGGTGGGTGATCAAGGCAATGCCAAAAGGAGCAATGCCAAAAGGCATTGTTCCGCCTGCGAAAGGCGTCATTTTGATGGGCACGTGCTGAAGCCCTTTAAGCTACACATTCCAGAGAGGTGTTGAATTGTTTTGGTCAGGGGCTTTCAGGGGCTTCCAGAGCCTTGTCTACCCATTCAGTACGGAGCAAGGAAGGGCCTGAAGATATCCAGTCTGTATCGCGCCCAGCAAAACCTCGCATCGCGCCCAGACGGAAGCCTGACAACGATCTGCCCTTTGTTTTGCCTGCCTGGACAACCTCAATCTCCTTTTTGTATGTCGTCCTAAACGGACTGAATCTATGAAGTTTTGAATTGCGTTGGTCGTGGCAGAACCGCGCTTGTAGGGGACACGTTTAGGTGCCCAAGCAGTTGCCTGCAATCGGCAGGCCAGTCGCAGTATGGCCATGTCCTCAAGCCAACGTGCGGAAGCGTAACAGGAACACGGAGAGAGCTGTGATTTGCTGACTCAGGAGCTTGAGCAAGATGGAGACAACGTGGCCCCGCACCAGTCCTCAGGACATAAGGACATTTGCTGCAACACCCCATGCTTGTAAATTAGTTCTGGTTCTGAGTCCTGAATGAATCAATTAAGCGCATGAACAAGGCTATTGCTGTTGCCCACAAAGCTTGCAAGAGCCAAAAGTGGCGGAAAGAGAACGGCAACCTCACCATGCATCAAAGCTTGGTAGCCATTACAATTTTCCTGCCCAGTGATTGGACAACTTTGGCTGCAGTTTCGTATGTGCAAGAGCAGCTTCGCAAGGTGCCAGAGTGCCAGTCGAAGAGTTGTTTTTCGACAAGCTGGAAGAAACAATTGAAAAGCTGGTCTTGTCGCGCGAACCAGCGGCGTTGCTCCAACGGGCGTTTCTTTGCCAAACGTGCAGTTTCTGCATCGTTGGTGCCTCAGAGCTTTGAAATTGCGATTCGGCAAAACAGCGTGGAATACCTCCGAGACGTTGGTTTGGATACTGGGATGTCTCCACGAGGCCTTGACAGGGATCATGAGGCCAGTCATACTTGTTTGGGACTGTGCAGCGACACATCTGTCAGAGCGCGCTGCTCGCCGCGCAAGAGTACAAGTTCAAAGTGGTGCCAGCGCCTCCAGGCCTGACACCATTGCTGCAACCCCTGGACACACGGCTTTGCTATGCTAAAGAGACGCATGCGCGCAGATCATCGACGCCTGCTTTCTGTTTGCCAAGAACCTCAAGCAAACATGTTTGTGGAGTTGTTTGCGCGTGCTTGCAAGCGCCTGTGCCGCGTGGAGTGGTCACGTGCCTCTCAGCAGGTGGGTCTGTTGGATGATGGAAGCAGTGGGTCTTTAATACAGCGGCTTTATTGCAGTATTTCCCAGAAGGAAAACCAGACACATGCAACTCATGCTTACGCCCCGACGAGTTTCGACGCCTACTTCCAAAGGGGCGCAAGATGGTTTACCGTTTGTGGCGCGCCAGAAAGTTGGTCTTATTGTAAAAGAGCAACATGACTTGATTGGCGCTGTGCGGGAGCTACCGCGTGTCCAGAGGAAGGGCTTGGCTTTTGAGGGTAATTGTGGGCTTCAGTTTTATGAGCCGTTCAGGACATCCCAAACAAATCATGTGAAAGCCGGGAATGCCACAAGCGCGCAAACCTTTCTTGCAATCTTACGAATAGTTGCTCGCTTGTCCTTCTAAGCTAGAGATTGCAGGGCCCGGTAGAGACTGCAGGGGCCGGCTGCGCGGTGCGCGGTCTGATATGGTACACTTCTCAATGTGCGCGCGCCCCCCATGTCGGCCAGTAATGCTGCCGAATAGCGTGGGAAATGAGTCATAGAGCCGGGTCGGAAACTGACACGTTTGGGTACCAACATTCCAGACGACCTGTTTTTTGAACTATTCGGCGTGTTTGCGGGGGTTCAGGATACCCGGGCCCAGAAGCAGCATGTACCCTTGATGCAGGAAATTGAAGCAGCCAAGAGTTCTGTCACATGGGTCGCTTTGGGCACCTTGGACATCCTGGCAAACAATGCGGCTGTGCATGCTGGCCTGTCGATCAGTTTCGTTCCTGTGCGGCTGCCAGGAAATTTGGACACAAAAATGCAGTGACAATTATGGGGTTCAGGGTTTGCAGTTTAGGTTGCACTCTTGTTTCCGCCACGCAAGTCAGCATGGCAAAGGTAGACATCTGGTTGATCGAAGCATCTTTGGGGGCGTTTGAGATGAGGGCTAGGGAGGGAGCCTGAAGACTAGGGCAGGGGCGCTCCAATCTCAGGACTTTTAGAAGCTAGAAAGCCCCATAAACCATATGAACCCTCTAACCCTTATGAGCCCTACCCTGTAAACCTTATATATACATGACGAACTCCTGTAAGCACCCTAAACCTAAACCCTAAACCCTAAACCCTAAACCCTAAACCAACCCTAAACCCTAAACCCTAAACCCTAACCCCTAACCCCTAACCCCTAAACCCTAAACCCCAAACCCTAGAAGTCCCAATGAGCCCGATCAGCCACGGCTCGCATCGAGGCCATTTGCCCCGCCACCCTCGCCGGGACTCCGATGCGGCATGCCGCCGTTGAAGCTGCCGGAAGGCAAGGTTTAGGGTTTAGGGTTTAGGGTTTAGGGTTTAGGGTTTAGGGCTTAGGGCTTAGGGCTTAGGGCTTAGGGCTTAGGGCTTAGGGCTTAGGGCTTAGGGCTTAGGGCTTAGGGCTTAGGGCTTAGGGCTTAGGGCTTAGGGCTTAGGGCTTAGGGCTTAGGGCTTAGGGCTTAGGGCTTAGGGCTTAGGGCCCCACGGGTTAAGGACGAATATGGGTTTGGGGTTTAGGGTGTTGTTGCGGTTTAGGGTTCATAGGGTTTAGGAAGAATCTGGGTTTGGGGTTTAGGGTTTGGGGTGTAGGGTTTGGGGCTCATAGGGTTTAGGAAGATTTTGGGTTTGGGGTTTGGGGTTCAGGGTTCATAGGGGTTTGGGCGTTCATAGGGTTTGGAGCGGCTCAGATGGACTTGGGGTGTCCCCAAAGCCTGTTTGGTAAGGTCTAGAGGTGCCCAGTTCCACAATCCTACTCTACGCAGACCCTTCTACCTTAAACCCCAGAGCCCAACGCTCCAAATCCTAAACCCTAAGCCCCACATCCTAACCCTACGCCCCACAAGCCCCAAATCCTAAACCCCAAATTCTTAAACCCTAAACCCTACACCCCAAAGCCTAAACCCCAAGTTCTAAACCCCAACTCCTTTCAGCTTGACTTCGGGGCTGCTTCAATGTAGCGAAGGGTTTCAGGACTGGTGGGTCGCCAACACCTACGGAGGAGCCCTCTCAGTGTAGCAACAGTCTCGGGCCTCGGGCTCAGGGTTTGGGGTTTAGGTTTAGGGTTAAGTGAAGTACCAAACCTCCACGCTCTCAACACCCCCAATACCCCTAAACCCTGAAGAACCCCCGAAAAACCCCTTCAGCCACAAACAAGATAACCACACTCCCCCCGAACCCCAAACCCCAAACCCCAAACCTCAAAACCCAAAACCCAAAGCTCCACACCCTGCACCCTAAACCCCAAAGCCCAGACCCCAAACCCCAAACCCCTAGACCCCTAGGCCGCTAGACCCTCCAAAGCAAAATCCCACCTTAGGCCTAAACCCTAAACCCCTAAACCCCTAAACCCTAATTCCCTAAATCCCTAAACCCTAAACCCTAAACCCCAAAACACCTCAGGCAGCTTCTTGGAGAGCTCGCGCTTCACCTACCCCGACGAAAGCTGCAGCGGCGTCATCTTCTTCGAGCTCAAAGAGGAGGTGCGGGTTTAGGGTTTAGGGTTTAGGGTTTAGGGTTTAGGGTTTAGGGTTTAGGGTTTAGGGTTTAGGGCTTAGGGTTTAGGGTTTAGGGTTTAGGGTTCAGCGTGCTTAAGTTTTTAAGACCTAAACCCTAGGCCTCAAACCCGAAACCCTGAACCCAAGCGATGGATAAGTGATGAGTGCTCTAAAACTTGGTTTAGGGTTTAGGGTTTAGGGTTTAGGGTTTAGGGTCCTCAAGTACAGCTGTTGCGCTAGGGGGCTTAGGGATTGGTGACTTAAAGCCTGAGCCCTAAAAATAAAACACAGTAAGTAACAGTTCAATGTCAGTGTCTAAATTTGAGTAGTAGTTAGTGGGTTTGGATGAAAACATGGGCCAGGTTTCCCAAGCTTCCCAGATGAAGCACGGAGGGTTGCGGATGTTTTGTATATGTGAAGACCTAGGCTTAGGCTGGGCAAAAGAGGCT